CTTTCCGATTTGATTTGGCGGGTTCCAATTTGAGTCAGAGAGATTAAAGGGTCCTCTGATTTGATTTGGAGATTTGGTCACTGAATTAAGCCAAATCTCTGCCAAATCGAATCGGGGACCAAAGCTTCGCACAGCCCTAATATTGTACTCATAAACATCACAGAGGAAACTGTGAATACTGATCATGAAATAGTTGCTTGCCTGACTAATTCATAGCTTCTTTCCTTGGTTCATGCATATCAGACAGTCAGACAAGTTCTAATTAAATAGTCTAACAAAAGCTTTTAATCGTATCTACAGCTAACCAATCAAGAAACTGTACCTAGTCATATGAGGCAGACAGACTGTTCAGTCTTTAGTGTTGCTAAGCAGCCTCAATGTTGTCATATTTAAATGGTTGTAAAAAGTAAAGGTTAAGGGATGTGAATAGACTATATACATTTTTATGCTTTAAGTTTGTTGCTTTTTGAGTTTTAGTACAGTTCTGAATTGCAACTGATTCAACACTAATGTTCTTGTCCTTTACTTTTGTTTTTTTCATGCTTCTTTCCAATATAATGGGAAAACCTTGGAACTGAAGTGGAAACCATGGTGAGTTGGCTCATTGTTAACAAAACTTTGTCCATACAGAGTCCTTGTAGGTTCCTGTTGATTTTTCTTGGTTCTGTTTTTAATGTTAAATGTGTGAACTTCTAAAGTTTTGCCTAACAGCAGGTTGCTAACTTATAAATTATTAAGGCTGCTTGCAAACCCCACCCCCCAGTGCTATAATTTAAACTTGGCGCACTCCTGCACTGAGCTCTGCATTTGCCCAGAAGAGGCGGTGTGTTAGTTGGACCTGGCTCACTCAACATCTGTACAGATCAGGTGCTTTAATGAGCTTTTTTAAATGTCTCCAAGCTACCTAAGTGTTTTATGTGTTTGTGGACCAGGTTCTTCAAAGGTATCAATTGCTTTTGATTGCCCAACATGAGACACTGGGGAAGATCCTCGTTTTCAGTTGAAGAATGATTTAATTTGGAAAAGAAAAAAAATCAGTTATGCATTGCACAGGCTGCACCTTACCATTGTTAATTCTGGTTACCCTTTTCTGGATTGCTTAATTCTCTGTTGTCTGTTTTGAGATGAGGTATCTAAACTTGGACTGTATGCTCTAAATGAGTTTTATTATTCTTTAGAGCATCATTATAATATTTTCTTTCTTTTTAATGTACTGTGGCAGGCCTAGTCTGGCTGGGAGGTCATAACTCCCAGCTGGCCTGCCCCTGCCCCTGCCCCTGGATGGCCTGCCCAGCCCATCTAGTTCTTCTGAGCCACAGCCCTCTATTTCACCTTGATGGAATCAATTATCAGGGGTTGTCCTGAGCCTTAAAGTTGGGTTTCATTTTGGTTACTTGGTTTCCCCCCTTTTAATACTTGTCCAGGCACTGATTCTCTTGGCTAGAGCCTATTTGCTCTAGCTTCTACCTTCCATTCTAGGCCCACTGCAGTGTGACCTCCATCTCCCCTCACAGTTGCTATTGGTCCTATGGTAAAACAGAAAAAAATGTAAGCGACCACTCCAATTAAAATACCACCTCTCAAGCAGTTGCAAAACAGCCTAATGTGGGCCTGAAATCCTTTATCCCTCTGGAGTCCTGTGTCTGGGGAAAAAGGAGAAAGCAAAAGAAAGAAAAAAAAAGCCCCTCTTGGCCAGCGGCAGATTAATGTATAGGCCCACAGGACCCTACCAATCAGGGGCCCCATAGGAAAAATCTCTAATGTGCTGGATGGTCTAGTACAGCGCTGTGCAGGTAGCTGCGCAGGGTGGCGGCAGCATAGCCCAGCAGGGCTCATGGCAGCAACAACAGCCAGGGGCATATCTCCTCACCCAGACCCCACTGGCACCAGCAACAGTGGAGCTAGCACTGGGGCTGGGCTGCTGCAGTGGGATGTCTTACTCATCCTGCCCCTGGGGCAGAGCAGGTCTCCAGGCTGGGGGTAGGGGGTGATGGGTGGATGGGGCATGGGGGGCAGGCAGCTGGGAAGCCTCTAGCACCTGTCTTCCCATCTCTTCGGGTGACTGGAGCCCCTAGCTACACCTCACTTGGGCAGGAGGGGGGCGCTGTGGCACTAGGTGCATAGCTGGCCCCTCACCTCTCAGGGGAGGGGGAAAGAAAGAGTCCCCTCCTGGGAGGTGATAGGGCTCCGCAGGGGGACTGCAGCAGGGCCGCAGTTGCCTCCCTGCCCCACCTTCCAAGACGGCCCAGGTGGATTTTGCGTGGAAACCAAGCGGCAAAGATGGAGCAGGACTGTGGTCTGGGCCTAGCCCAGCTCAGGGCTCAAAGGGAGCAGGATGAACCCTCAGGAAGGCTGAGGAAGGATGTTTTCATCTGGCCCTTTGCCTCACAGCTGAAGCTGGGGTTCTCAAACCTTTATACTCAAGGCGTCTTGCCCCATAGGCTCGAGGCACCCCTCCTTAGACTCAGGACATCCCCCATAGACTCAGGGAACCCCTGCTTAAACTCAGGAACATAGGAGCTTCCTGTGATAGTTTCTACTGCGCACAGATCCTGTCCCTCCTGCAGTTAGTGGCACCCAGGAACCTGACTCCCCCTTTTTTATGACGGAAGATAGAGCTAGGATGATGAACTCCATCACCTCCCGTTAGCCTATGGGAGCTCTTCTAGAAAGGTGGTATAGCTCTAGCTTCTTAATGGAACATTGCTAGCAGGGAGCTGGGGAGGAAGCATGGAGGGAGACACTGCCTGCACTGGTGGTCCAAGCCTAAAGCGGAGTTTGGCAGGGTTCCTCAGAGCCCGAGGTGAAGAATTTGGAGGGTGCTGGACTAGGTGGGGAGAGTGCTTGCAATTTTCTTTCACCTGAAGGGCTGATTTTAATCTCCTAGAGGACAGGCAGAACAATATATTTAATGGGTCTATGTATTAATTCATTTTTGATACATTCATGTTTATAATGGGGTATGAGGGGCTTCCAATTTTCTGTTTGCCCAGGGTCCCAATAAATCTTAATCTGCTACTGCTCTTGGCCCTTATTCACCAGGGTCATCCCTTGTTGCTTCTGGGCACCCCTGTGGCTTGCATGGGAGTGCTTTTCCTTCCTCAGCCAGGGCTAGAATTCCCCCTCCAGTCTGAGGGCAAGCCAGCTTATTCCCCTGAGCCCCATCCCGTCAGCCTGGCTTATTGTTTATCTCAAGCACAGGAGTTACTTGTTAGTCCCAGCCCTGCCAACTGCCCACTTTTTGGCTGCTGTCCTCACAGCATGCACCACTCCCCAGGGTAGAGCTACTGGCTGTTGCAGCTGCCTTTTCTCTAGGCCACAAAGACCCTGGTTTTAAAGAGTTCTTGCAGGTCCTGCAGGCCCCGTACCTTTCCCACAGTAACAGGCTAAAGGTTCCTTGTTACACATACTCCATGTTTCCTCCATGAAGCGTGTGTGTGTTGGGTAAGCCCGAACTCCCCAACTGAAATATATTGTTAGAAAAAGAGTAGAGCTTCTCTGTGGTATTTAACTAACCCTTTATTTTCTGTCGTACAGATGAAATTCCACTGAGCCGTCCAAAGAAAAGAAAACCCAAAGGGAAGAATTCATTAGGTAAGAAACTGCCAAAACTGAACACTTTGCTGCTTCTTTGTAGCGTCTCCAATCCAACCTTTCTATCCAGTGTGTTTCCAGTATTCTGCACAGGCTCTTGCTGCTGGTGTTTGTGCTGCCAGATGTTGTGGGGTGCATTGTGGTGCTACAAGGCATCTCAGGAGATGATCCCTGGTTTGCTGCTCCTGACAAACACATTGGTTGGTTGCATAGAGGCCCCAACACTTTATTAAGTATGCTGGAGAAACTCTGTACTCTGGCTCAACTCCTGACAAGTGCATCCATAGTTTTATAGAATGTATTCCTGACCTAATAAAATTTTGTTGTCTTGGCTAGTCTTTCATTATGGGTTATACACATAGGTTGTGCCTTTTTATAGTGGTATTATTTAGAATTAGGTTAAGGTTAACTCAGATTATTATCGCTGTTTTTTTTTCTATACATTCTTGTTCCTGATAAAACAGGAAGTGTTTTTTATACCACAGAAAAATTGTTTAAATTTTTACCTCTCTGCTTTTTTTCTATTTAAAAGTATCTATCTCTATCTCAAATTAAAGGCAGTTCTCTACAACTAGAAGTTTTCTTTGAGATTGATCATTTTAATTAGTGATCTGATTTCTAAATGAACTGAACATGAATCCATTTCAACACAGTTGGTCTTATGTCATTCCTGGGAAAAATAATGGAATAGTTAAGTTGGAACTCTGTCAACAAAGGATTAGAGGCTAAAAATATAGTTGTGCAAGTCAACATGGAAACAGTTGTTAATTTTCAGATAAGATTATAGGTCAGGTTGATTTAAAGGTGACTGTGTTCAGGGTATATTACATGGCTTCTTGACAAAAAAAAAAAATTTGCAGCATGGAATCAACAGATCACCTATTAGATGGATTGAAAACTATCTTGCTAAAAGATCTCCGTGCGGATTTAATGTTGCAACCTGATAGGACCATTAGTAGTGGCATTTCCCGTAAGCTCAATTCTTGATCCAGTGCTATTTTTAATATTTTTGTCAACAATATATATGACTATACAAAATCTCTGCTGATTGAGTTTGGAGACAACATAATAGTTAGAGACCCACTTAAATCATGGTTTTGTGATTTTTCACAGAAACTGCAAAAAATAGAGGTTTCCACCATCTCCATGAAAAACTGTTTCCTGTGATTTTTGTGTGGAATTGCACCCCCAAAATTTAAAAATTACCAGAATACAAATAAAGCACAGCAATCCCTGCAGCTGTGGAGCACATAGTTTAAGAGAGAGTTACTGAGAAGCTGAGCTAGTGACATAGACTCAATGAAGGTGCAAGTCAGGAAAACTAAAGGGTTTTGGCGTCATCTTTTAAGAAGCCAGATGCAATGCTGCAGCAGTACTGCAGTCTGAAGATGAGTGATTTGCCTCTAGGCCGGGGTGTGCAAAATGTCCTGTGGGCCAGATACAGCCCACCCGGCCATTCTATCCAGCCCACGGGGCCCCTAAAAATTTTAGAAAATTAATTTTCATCTGCCCCTGGTTGCCCATCAAATATGACAGGCAGCCAGAGGCGGCAGAACCCAGGGGCAGTCCCAGAGGCTGAGTAGCAAAGCTGGCCGGGCCCCAGCCCCCAACCAGTCAACGGCTCTGCGGCTTCTGACCTTGCAACCCTGGAGTCTGTTCCCCACCCTCCCTCCATCCAAATGGAAAGTAAGATAAGATCAGACAGAGGGAGGGAGGAAAACTGCTGTGAGCTGCCCAACAGCTGGGAGCTCAGTGGTGCTTGCTGGGTTGGGCTGGAGCCAGAGTGGGAAGCAATGGTGGCAGGGGGGACCATGGGGAGTGGTGGGGGAAGCAGCAGGGGGGTGGAGAGCTGGTGATGCTTCTCTC